GATAGCTTGGATGTGCCACAAAGATGGAGAAAATTTCTTTTGAAGTTTGAGCTTGGTCAATGGAGTAATTGCATGTACTCGATTTCACATCTTATGGTCAAGATTATTTTGACCACCTTGTATCAAAGGTAATAGTCTCATTCTATACTTTCCCTATTGTTATTCTAGTTTTTTTTTTTGGAAAAATATATAATGAGACCATTTATCTTTGGTATAAGGTGGTCACAATTAATCTTGACTATTGGATGAGAAATTAGATGGCTACATTTATTCTATTGAACAAGCTCAATTTTCAAAAGGAATTTTCTAGAATTTGTTGACACACTCAAGCTATCATATTTCACATCGGATGGTTGTAAGTAATTGTAACATCTTTATATCAAAAGTAAATGGTTTATTATATAAAAATCCCTCTTTTTTTTTTCATCCATGCCCGCATTTTGTTAAGGGAAATATTTTGATAGGGCTACCCTATCAAAATAACTAGGGCACAAGCCCTCCTCACCGTCCATTAATTTGGACAGTGCGGATTTATTGAGATAAGTAGAGAGGAAACTGGTGCACCAGAGCCCGAGTAACTTAAGCCCCTTTTCAAACCTATTTTTTTCAAGCCCATGCCTCTTTAAAACCATCTTTTAAAAAGAAAAGTATACAATGAAGCCATTTATCTTTGGTACAAGGTGGACACAATTAATCTTAACTATTGGATGTGAAATTAGATGGCTACATTTATTCTATTGTCCAAGCTCAAACTTCAAAAGAAAATTTCTCGAACTTTCTGACATACCTAAGCTATCAAATTTTACATCGAATGGTTGTAAGTAATTGTGACCTCCTTGTATTAAAGGTAAAAACCCCAAAATACACTATTTATGCAACTTACCCCCATCCAAACCTTTTATCTCACTTTTTTCCTCAAAGTATATTTTCTATGCAAATACCGCTCAACAAAAAAAGTTCATTTTTTTGATGGAAATCCCTTCGCCGTACAAAATGCTCCTTTTTGTTTAGGAAAATGCACTCCGGCAATCTCAAAGGGTGCTCTGGAAATACATGCCTGGAGCCACAGTGCTCTGGCAGTTGCATAGGGCACTCTGGTATTGAAGACACAGCGCTCCAACAGTAGCAAAAGGCGCTCCGGCAGTACACGTTCTAGAGACAATGCGCTCCAACAGTCTCAAAGGGCGCTCCAGCAATACATGCTTTGGAGCCCTAGTGCTCCGGCACTCGAGAGACATCGCTCCGGCACTCGAGACACATGTGCTCCCGCAGTGCATGTGCTCCGGCATTTGCAAAACACGCTTTAACAGTGCTTGTTTTGGAGACGACAGCGCTTCGGCAATTGAATAGGGCACTCCGACGGTACTTGTTCTGGAGATGACAGCGCTTCGGCAATTGAATAGGGCACTCCGACGGTACTTGTCCTAGTGTCACAGCGCTTCGACAATATCCAAAGGCGCTCCGGCAGTATATGTTCTAGACAGTGCGCTCCGACAATGTATTACTTGAGTCCGATAGTCAGCACCAATTGATTTTTTTTGTACAGGAAGAGCATTTCCGTCAAAAAAAATGAACTTTTTTGGTTGAGGGGTATTTGCTTAGAAAGTATACTTTTGGAAAAAAATGAGAGAAGGTTTGAATGGGAGTAAGTTACACAAATAGTGTATTTAGGGGGGTTTTTGTAATTTTCCCTTTTTTTTTAACGTAAAAAGCTAAGAATCGATCCCATTTCTGAGCTTCATCCCCGTTTTCTTCTCTCTTAGCTCTCTGACCAGGAGGCGAACTATGGACCCCTGTACTCAGAAAGAAACCTAGCACCTTTAATTGTGATCCAACTCTCTCCTTCTCTCTTTGACTCTCACAACCAATAAGAGTGAACCCTAGCCTCTTCAATGGTGAGCGGAAACTCTCATTCTATGGCATACGTGGAGTCTAAACTATAGCAAGTTTTCGTTAGAACACGATTTTTTCAAAGAAACAAAATTTGATTTTTTGAAATCGATTAAGAACTATGAGTTTTTCAAAAATCTTCAAAAAATCGCTTTTTTTTTAATAGAAGAGATATAAATCCGTATTTAATATTTTTTCAAAAAAAATTCAAAAAAACTTCTTCCCATAACTTGATTTCTTCCCAACTTAAGTACTCAATTTATATGATTCCATGTAGAAATGAG